AATATTTACCGAAGATCTCATGGGTAACCAAGAAGTTGTCCTGGAAGACACCGAATCTGAAGTCCAATGACTTGGACACGAAGGCCAGGTCTCTCTCATTTCCTGGGAAAGGCAGCTCCCAGGCCACCCATGCCTTACCGTGTGCAGGAAGATACTCATCAACGGGCAGCTCCCTTGTAAGTGTAGTGAGTAAACCCAAGGGCATGCGCTGCCCCCTGACATACCACGAGCCCACAGGTTGGGTGTGCAGTGCTGACTGTTGGGCACTAGGACACAGGTAGGGATTAGGGCTCTTGAACTTTGCTCAGAGCTTGTGACTCATTGGAAGAGAATTATTGATAGCACTCTAATTTTTGTCTGTGCTAAGCCCTCCACTGACTAGGGGCAAACTCATTGCAAAGGAGCTTGCACGCAGGCACAGAAAGATTTGCTATGAATTAATTGAGATTACTGGCTAAGGATGAGAGCTCCCAGCCCTCCTGCCCCCCAGAAACCCAAGTCAGAATCCTGGAGGGCTCTACATTTTTGATAATTGTCCCATTATTACTTGTAGAAAGTTTAAACATGTTCATTTAGCCACACTTGGTGGTTCATGCCTGTAATCCCAGCTGTGCAGGAGGCTGAGATCAGGAGGCTCTTTGTACTGGCTAGTTCCAGCAAAACGTTTGCAAGATTCCTCATCTCAGTAAATGAAGCTGGGCATGGTGATACGTGTGTCGTCCCAGCCATTGTGGGAAGGTGTAAAATAGAATGGCAGTCCAGGTGTGGGCAAAAAGTGGATCATTATTTCAAAAATAACCCGTGCAGAAAAGAGCTGGAGGCATAGCTCCTGATGGATCACCTGCCTAGCAAGTGTACAACAAGCAAAGAAAAACTCTGATCTGTGTTACCCCTTAGAATTTATATTGTGGGCAAACCAGTGTCTTTTGGTCATTGCCTCAGATCTGGGTCTTTCTAATCTATGTGGAGAAGAATCTCAGGACTGTTCCAAGCACATTTTTTTTGTCAGTCATGGGCTTGAACTCTGGGCCTGGGCGCTGTCCCTTGGCTCTTCAGCTCAAGACTAGCGCTCTACCACTTGAGCTACAGCGCCACTTCCGGTTTTCTCGTGATTTATTGGAGATAAGAGTTTCATGGGCTTTCTTGCTCGGGCTGGCTTTGAACCGTGATCCTCATATCTCAGCCTCCTGAGTAGCTAGGATTACAGGCATGAGCTACTGGTGCCCGGCTTCTAAGCACTTCTATTACTAATAAATACTTAAAAAATTGTAACTAATTGGAAAAATTACTGAATGTTTCATGCAATTTCCCCCCTTGCATTAATTTTTCTGTACTTTTTTATTCTGGGGAGGAGGTATCGGTTGCACATGGTTGAAATGAATGAATGATGCATTGGAAGTGAATTTTAGGACCTATATAAATATATGTACCACAAATTTTTACTTGTGGTTTTTGTAGAACAAAGAAATAGATTGGGGTAGTATTACCAACTCCTAAGTTATCATCTCAGTCCACCTTGAGCAAACAGAGCAAATGGATTCATAGAGAAACTGCTGGCAGGCAGGTGGGGCAAAGTTCGCGTCTTGGGCGCATGTAAGTTCCGCTTAATTTCTGAATGTTTCCAAGGCCTGTGCTTGCTTCTGCCTTGGTTCATCTCCTGGGAGAGATCTCACGTTGACCGAAAGGTGCTCGCTGACGTGAAAACAGCTACTATCTGTGCACAGAAACACCCACACATACACACATGCATGCACGGCTAGTATCAGACTGTGGTCAGTTGCTCTGTGCTGAGTAATGTCCCCAGCATTGTTGTCTTGTCTGTAGGATAAACTTTCCCTGTCCACCAGCCGGCAGGTGGGACTCTGGGGGCCTGGCTGAGCTCAGCGCTTTATCTGCTGGCAGGTGGGACCCTGGGGGCCTAGCTGAGCTCAGCGCTTTATCTGCCGCCCGTGCTGGCCTCCGTGTGGGGGAGGAGCTCCTTCCCCACCCAGCGCTGCTGCCTCAGTGGCCAGAGCAAGACAGGGCACCTCCCAGCTCCGGCCTACTAGTCCCGCTCAATTCCCACTCAGCCAGCCCCAGCCCTGCCACCCAGAGGCGGCCTCTGTCGTGACCTGTCAGGTGCCCGTGTGCCAGCCTTTCTCGCTCTCTGGCTGACCGTGTCTTTCTCCAGGGACAGTGGCAGCGGGGGGTGGTGGGTGTGCGGGGTGGGGGGTGCTGGCTCACAGGCGTGTAGGCCTTACCTGTGCTTTCCAAAGTGCCTGTGACACTTTGTCCTCCGACAGTCCCTCATCCCACGTCTTCTGCACTGTTTGGTAGTGTGTGTGTGTGTGTGTGTGTGTGTGTGTGTGTGTGTGTGTGTGCGTGTGTTTCATTTTGTATTTTTGTGCCAGTCCTGGGCCTCAAACTCGGGGCCTCACGCTCTCCCTCACCCTCAGCTTTCCAACCCCATGTCTGTCGCTCTGCCGTCTGAGCCGCGTCATCACTCCTGCATTTTGCTGGTTCATTGGAGAGTCTTGCAGACTTTTTTTTTTTTTTAATATTTTATTTTATTTGAGAACATACTGTACAGAGGGGTTACAATTACATGGGCAGGATAATGCGTACATTTCTTGCCAAGTATTGCAGCCTCCTCCTTTGTTTACCCTTCACCTCCCTTCCCAGCCTCCCCCCCCCAGTCCCAATCCTTCTCCCCCCCCCGGCCCCCCCCCTCCCAGTCTTGCAGACTTTTCTGCCTGGTCTGGCTTTGAGCTGTGATTCTCAGAACTCAGCTTTCAATCTGTAGCTAGGATTATAAGTCTGAGTCACCAGTACCCGCTCAGAAATCCTTTCTTCTCCCAGCCTTGGCAGGCTCCAGCACTGGTAATGCTATCTTTTGATGAACAGAAATCTTAACGAAGTCCAGTAACCTTATCTGTTCATTCCTGGTTAATAACTTCCTAAGCCCTTTCGATGACCGCTTTAGCTAGCTAGATGGGTGTGGTGACCTCTACCTGTGATCCTTGCTAATCTGGAGGTGGCTGTGAGGAGCTCACAGTCCCAATTGGCCCTAGAAAAAGCAAAACTAAAAGTGAGAGAGCGGGGGGTGGCTCAAGTGGTAGAGCACAAAGCTTCGAGTCGAGTCCCCAGTGTAGCAAGGCCCAACACGAAACCTAAGAGCACTTGGAAGATGCCTTTGCCAGGCACCCGCTCACTAAAAGCAGGACAGAAGCCTGGCACCCGCCTCCCCGGGGTATGAGCCTCCATTTTGACAAAGCTGTTCTCTCTGCAGCCAATGTGCAATATCCCGGGAGTCCGGAAGAACCACAGCCCTGGGGGAGGAGGGGGAGGAAGATGGACCCAAGACAGCCTCTGGGTACCGCAGGGGCTCCTCAGGACCAGCCGCCTCCAGACAATAGCTCTCGCTTATCCTGACCCAGAAGACAGCGGGGGCAGCCTCTGCATACCCCTCTAACCTGCCCGCATAAGCGTATGGCCCATGTCTGCGCCCCGAAGACTGAGGGGCTGCCTATAATCAATCTTTCTTTGCCCTTCACCATGTCACTGTGTTTGGCTAATGACACTCAACACCCGCAAAACCAACCCACCGACCACATACCAACCAACACCGCAAAACCAACCCACCGACCACATACCAACCAGCCCGGCAGCCCGGCCCCGCAGGACCTACTGGACACCCCGCTTTCCTCCTGGGATTTTGGCACCTGCCAGGCAGAGTGGCCCATGTGAGCAGCCCCAGTGGGGAAGCTGGGATCTAGGGCTCCGGGAGCTCCCCTAGTGGGGGCCTCTGGGCGACCGTGGGGGCCGGGGAGTTAAGCACCTCTTGCTCCCCTGGAAGGACCGGTGCTTGCCCGCGGCAGCCCTCGCCCGGGCGCTGCCCGCACTGACTGTTCCGCGTCTGTCTCTGAGAGTTCCCCGCATGCGAGGGCTGTGTGACCTTCCCTGAGAGCCACGGATGGACGGGGGCTGTGTGTCCTTCCCTGAGAGCCACGGACGGACGGACGGGGCTGTGTGTCCTTCCCTGAGAGCCACGGACAGATGGACAGGGGCTGTGTGTCCCTCCCTGAGAGCCACGGATGGACAGACGGGGCTGTGTGTCCTTCCCTGAGAGCCACGGACGGACGGGGGCTGTGTGTCCTTCCCTGAGAGCCATGGACGGACGGAGGGGGTGTGTGTCCCTCCCTGAGAGCCACGGATGGACGGACGGACGGGGCTGTGTTGCACACGTGTGACAGGACCCGCTGTCTCCATCTTGAGCATCAGCAGAGCCGACAGGACCACCATCCATCGACACGCCGAGCCCAGGATGGCTGCGCAGCCGGAGGGTAGAGGTGCGAAGCAGTGTGCAAACAGGCCGCCTCCAGGCCTCCGAGGTCGGGCCGGCCCGCGCTTCCTGGGGGCACACATTCTAGACATTCCCGCGCCATCTAAACACCTAAGCGGAGGTGAGCGTGGAATCACCTGCGCAGGCGCTCCTCTACGTATAAGCTGGCTGTGACCCTGCGGGGATAAGAAGGGCGAGGGGAGTGGTAGCGCACGCCTGTAGTCCCGGCCGGGCCGGCGGTGCCAGGGGCGCCTCCGCGGGGCGCCGCCCTCCCCGGGAGCCGGCCCGGCACGCGGGCCGCGGGGGAGAGACCGGGGCGCCCCCGCGGCCCCCCGGGAAGCCCTGCGGGAACCCCCGTCCCGCGCCGTCCCCGGGCCCCCCGCCACCTCCGCGCGCACCCGGCACCCGCGACCCCGCCGCGCCGACGGGGCGCATGCGGCCAAGTGATTTCTCGGAAAGCTGAGCGCTTCGAAGAAGGCGGACCCGGGGTCCGCGCTGATTGGACGATGCCCGCGCCCCTCCCTCGCGTCATTGGCCAGCACGGCCTTCGCTCTGCGCTCGGGGCCCGCCCCCGCCCCCGCCCCACCCTTAAAGCCGCGCGCCCTGCGCGGAGCCAGCGCGGACCGGCTCGGGCCGAGGCGCGGGGGGGGGGCGTGGGAGCGCGGGGCTGCGGGGCTGCGGGGCTGCGGGCGAGCGGCGGCGGCGGCAGGTAGGACGGCAGGGCCGGGGGTGCGGCCCGGAGGACGCCCCGTCCCTCCTCTGCTTTCAGCCTTTGGGTCTGAGCCCAGCGCGCGGCGGCTGTCCCCGACCCCAGGCCGGCTGTCCCTGTCCTTAGAGGCCAGCTGTCCCCCGAGGCTGGCTGTCCCCTGAGGCTGGCTGTCCCCTGAGGCCGGCTGTCCCCGTCCCCAGGCCAGCTGTCCCCGAGGCCGGCTGTCCCCATCCCCGAGGCCGGCTGTCCCCCGAGGCCGGCTGTCCCTGTCCCCAGGCCGACCTGTCCCCAGGCCGACCTGTCCCCAGGCCGGCTGTCCCTGTCCTTAGAGGCCGGCTGTCCCCGTCCCCAGGCCAGCTGTCCCCGAGGCCGGCTGTCCCCATCCCCGAGGCTGGCTGTCCCCGTCCCCAGGCCGACCTGTCCCCAGGCCGGCTGTCCCTGTCCTTAGAGGCCGGCTGTCCCCTGAGGCTGGCTGTCCCCTGAGGCTGGCTGTCCCCTGAGGCTGGCTGTCCCGAGGCCGGCTCTCCCCCGAGGCCGGCTGTCCCCGAGGCTGGCTGTCCCCCGAGGCCGGCTGTCCCCCGAGGCCAGCTGTGCCTGTCCCCGAGGCCACTGCGTGTGGTCACACACCTCGCCGTTCCTTCAGCGCTGGCCTGCGGGGTCTCTTAGGTCTGCACCTGCTCCGCTGGGTTTTCCCGCCGCCTGGGCCTGCCTGGCCTGATCACGGAAAGGACAGTTAAGACTTGTGGGTTGCAGGGCAGGACTGGCTTCCCCAGGTGAGCGTGTTCCGTCCCTGGATGGAACCCGGGGACTGAATGTTCCAGAATCTTAAACCCCAGCCTCCATTTAAAAACTGCGGCGAGGGTGTGGGTCCGTCCGGTGTGCCAGGCAGTGGTGTGGTTGTGAGGATTATTTGGGAGAGACCTAAGGGCCAGAATGGGCAGCAGTGGTTTTTTCTTGGTGGTGATGTTGGTCTCACTGAGAGCGGGTGGTGTGGCATGACGCCCGCTGCCCACCACACGTTCTGGCAGCTCAGGAAGCCCGGGGCAGCCTCCTCCACCTCCCTCCTGGGAATCCGGCCCAGGGCTCCCATGTAGAGATGCAGGTGAGCTGCCAGGAGGACTTGGCTGATAGAAGGTTACCTCAAAAGCAAGAGGAAGTTGTAAACATGTGACTTGTGGGTAGATTTAATTTGCTAGTGTTCAATAAATCTGTAGTGATCTCCGCCTTGAAGGTGACAGCAGGGGAAAATCAGGAGCGGCTGTCATGTGCTGAGTCCCCCTCATCCCTGCATGGCTTTTGTAGAATGGGTGATGGTGCCCCTCTGCCAGAGGCTGCCACTTGGCTCTGACGCTGAGCACTGGCTGCCTGGGGTGGCTGAGCCTCCGTGGGTTGTTGAATGAGGAAGGGCTGGGTTAGATGGTCTCTGATGTATCTTCCTGCGTTTATGTTCTGTGATTTGTGTGTCTTCACAATGCTGTTTCTCTCTACCCCCCCTTTTTTCTTCTATAAACTACCAGGACAGTTTTGGGGTGATGAGCCCCTTAGGGATCCTAGTGAGAAAGTCTTGGTTCTTTTTCTAGAATTTGCTCTTGGTGTCTGGACTGTGGCTTTATGAGGTCTTGGAGGAGGAGTGGAAGCACAGTTTCTTCCCTACCTGGCAGGTTGCAGATGCCATTCCTACCATGTGTTTCCTTGCCCCTCACATGCTGCCCAAGCCCAGGAGAGCCTGTCCCCCGGGTCCTCAGAATGGGCCGTAGCTGTTTTCAGGGGTTCCGTTTTCCTCCTTAGGCTCCTTTCCAAATCCATCCTTTCCTACTTATAACCTAACGGCCCTAGACTCTGGTTCCCTTATGGGTTCAGGTGACTCCCCCAGGGCTAGCTGGAAGCAGCTGTTGTTGGGCTCCAGGGATCCCTAGTTCCTTCACCCCCTTTTAAGCCCATAAGTGGGGTAGAAATGCTAAAATTAGCACACAGAGAGCCCCTCCCTGCAGCCCGCGTCCCTCCTCCCCGGCAGGCACCTGTGGCTGGCCAGAGTTGCTGGGTCGGGATGGGACTGCACAGGACGGTCGCTGATGGTTCTGCTTCATGCACTGGCACACTCACGGATGTGAGCGTGTTCTCGGAGACATTGTGCCTTGTCACTGCTGATTGCTTCAAACATGTCTGAAGAGGTCACAGTTGAGTGGGAAGAATAGAGATGCCTCTTTTTTTTAGTTGTTTTTTTTGTTTTGTTTTGTGGGCGTCTGTCCACGGGCTCGGGGATTTCCAGCAGTGTTCTTGTAAATGCTGGCGGTGGCTCCTTGGCTGCTGGCGGGAACGTCCAAGGATGCGTCTGGGTGTCCCAGGCCAGGCCATCTGAGATTGAGCCCCTGGGGGAGCAGAGCTGTGTAGGTTGGCTCGGGGCCGTGGCCATGTCTTGCCCTCTCCCGCTGTGCTCACGTGGTCATGAGTGCTCTGCGGCACAAGGCGACCGCACTGGTTCCTTGGGGGTCTTCTATGGTGCGACCCGTGGCAGGTGTGCCAGGTGCGTACCGCTGCTGTGCGGGTAGGGGAGTGATCGGCACGGGTGCCCGGCTGGGATGGGACTCGCTTTGTCACTGTTCCAGCAGGGGTGAACAGCCTGGGGATCTCGGGTGGGTGGGGAAGATGGAGGTGTTCTTTCTCAGTGGCACGTCCGTGGTATTCTGTTTGGGCACACCAGCCCCTGGGCATCAGGCATGGGGCTGGCTCTTACAGTGATGGTGCTGCCTGTGTAAAAGTGACTTTTCAATGTGACCCCGTTCTGAGTGGCTGTGGTTATCTGGCTGGGAGGCCTGGGGAAAGCCGGCTCGGGTGTGTGTGTGTGTGGGGGGGCAGGATCATCTCTCCCTGGCAGGTGGCCTAGGTTTCCTGGGACTACGGAATGTCCCCAAGCCAACCCCTCTGTCCTGAAGCTCCCACACCCCGGTGGCTGGTTTGCTCTGACTCACGGAGATTCATTGCCTTTTTCTCTCCAAGCATGTGTGACCGCAACGGCGGCCGGCGGCTCCGGCAGTGGCTGATCGAACAGATCGACAGCTCCATGTATCCAGGGCTGATTTGGGAAAATGATGAGAAAAGCATGTTTCGGATCCCTTGGAAGCACGCCGGCAAGCAGGATTATAACCAGGAGGTGGATGCCTCCATCTTCAAGGTGAAAACCCAGAGCTCCCCCCTCGCCCCCAACATCCCAGTGTGGACCCCTCCCAGTGGTCCCCCACCGATCCGATGCCCCAGCGGCATAGGCTAGGTGACTGCGTCTGTTCTGCTGTTTAATCCCTGTGGGGCCTGTTGTAACAGGAGGCGGGGTATGGGGGGCCTCCGGCCCTGCCTGCTCTGCCTGCTTCTCCACTGAGCCCTGTGCTGGCGGGGGGTGCAGCGTGGTCACCAGGGGGGACTCTGGTCTTCCTTCTTTCACAGCTGTGACTTCTGCCTGCGGTGGTAGGTTTTGCTGGAAGGGTGCAGTGCACCCATATTCACTTGTGGCAGGGTGCTGGGGTGTGTTGAGCGTGCAGCCAGTGTCCGGCATTAACCTCTTCTCCCTTGAGAGAAAGAACTGCCCCTCCCCCTGCTCGCCCGGCGCCTCAGCTTCTCCACTGGTGTAGTGATGGCCGGCATGGACTGATGGAAGTTTCTGCACCAGGCCTGACACATACCTGCTGTTCTGTTTCCCTGAATGCTATTCTATGTGGTTGGTGCCACTCCCTTCTCATTCTGTAAGGACGCCACGAGGCTTGCCCAGGGTGGTGTGGGTCAGCATGGAGCCAGCATGCAAACATGCCCCCCACTGGGAGCCCAGCTCCTACCCTCCAACTCCAGGGCGGTGGGGGCCGCCATGCTCCCCATGGGTATTTTGTGGCAGACCTGGCTTCTACCTGTGACTCGCCACCAGCAACTCCCCTGTCCCTAATGGCCAAGACCCCCCTGGGGCGCCAACTTTGAGAACCCCACTTGGAGCTGAGCATAGCCAGGACTGCCGAGTGCGGGCTGCTGGTGGAGCACCAGGGAACTGGGAGCTGGAGCCCAGGCATGCGTGCATGTGTGTGCATGCGTGCGCATGTGTGTGTGTGCACGCATGCACGCAGCTTCTCCATGCTGCCTGTGCTCCCAGTAAGGAAATCAGGCCCCAGATTTACGCATCTTGTGCAATGCTCTTCATGGCCGTTTCAACAACGTTGATTCCCGATGTTTCCGTGGGTTACGCAGTCACTTGATGTGGCAATCTGAAGTGAGTCCACAATCTCAGTGGGAATGGGGGCAGGCGGGCACGCGGGAGGCCAGCAGAGGGGTGACGGGTGAAGACAGGGCGCACAGCGAGGCAGGGATTCGGCTGGTGCTTTTTGGAGCTGTGCTGTGCGGCACACTTGCTTGTTGGGGTCCTCTGGTAGGAGCATCTCTGCACTCCATTAAGTGAGCATCTTTGCTGTTGGAAGAGGTCAGCAGAGAGCTTGGGCAGACAGAGCTGTGTTGGGCATCTTCTGTTTGCATAGAGAACCAGCTTTCCTGGTACATTCAAAGCAAAGGCTTGCAAACACGAAGGGCTGGATTGTGGCTCCGGGGTGGACACTGCCAGCAAGTCACAGGGCTTCATGCATCCCCAGCATGGAAACAGCTAAAGAAGAAACAAAAAAGGCATCTGAAACCAGGGACCAGTGGCTCACACTTATAATCCTAGCTACTCAGCAGGCGGAGATCTGAGCATCGAGCTTTAGAGCCAGTGCAGTCAGGAAAGTCTGTGAGACTCTTGTATCCAGTTAACCAGCAAGAGGCTGGAACTGGAGGCATGACTCCAGTGGCACAGTACCAGCTTTGAATGAAAAGGCTGAGTGAGAGTGGAAGGCCCTGAATTCAAGACTCAGTACTGGCAAAAGATCCCCCAGCCAGCCAACCAGCCAGCCAGCCAGGCATTTGCTTTCCTACCTGCAGTCAGTGGGTGGTAAAATCTTCTTAGACCAGTCTGTCCTCCCCCGGGTTCATGTGCCGCGGTCATATGAGCCGTTGAGTCATACTGGCCGTCAGCGTGCTGGTGAAGGCCTCCGATCAGCTCACATCTATTTCCAAAGAAGCATTTGCCTCCTTTCTCTGAGGGCTAGGGGAGAAGAGGGTCATGTCAAGTGTGACCTGTGATCCACGGGGCCCTTGCTGAGCAGCGTCCCCCATCACCCGCTACTCAGAGCTCACACAGGGTGTGGGGCTCTATGCTCATCAGGCCTGGAAGGGCAAATAGAAGTTGGTGTTTATTTTATTATTTTGTGGTTAGTTAGCAGTAATGGGGTTTGAACTCAGAGCCTTGTGCTTATCTGGCAAGCATTGTATTGCTTCAGCCATGCCTCCAGCCCTTTCAGTTCTAATTAATTTTGAGATTGGGTTTCAGCTGTCCCCCCCCCCCCCCCTTGCCGGCTGCCTGAGTCAGAATCCTGCTGTTTACATGGAGCTGGAATGACAGCCACTTGTGATGATGCCCAGCTTTTTATTGTTTGAGATGGGGTCTTGAACACATTATTTTGCCCATGCCAGCCCAGAACTGCCATCCTCCCAATTTCCACCTCGAATGTGGATGTGGCTAGGATTATAGGGATGTGCCATCCTGTCCAGCCAGCCCATGGGGCCTGGCGTGTGGGATGGGAGCCTCACGTGAGCATGGCAGGCTGTCAGACAGCTCTGCTCTGGCGTGCACCAGATGATGGTGATGCCTGTCAAGGTCAGGTCAGAGTCTGGGTGACCCAGTGGTCCTGTCTACAGACATCCAGAGAGTGCTGCTGCTGTGGGTGTGCTGTCAGCACCCCGCCGGGGAATGGACCAAGCATTGAAATGCTGAGGTGGAGAAACCCTGATTTAAGATCGTGAAAGGCAGCCTTGGAATCCCAGCTACTCAGAATGGAAAGTAGGAGGAGAGAGTTCAAGGCCAACCTGGGCTACAGAATGAAATAAGAAGAAAGGGGGTAGGGGTGTGGCTGGAGTGCGGGGTTCTTATCTAGCACGTTCAGAGACCCTGAGTGCAAGTCTTAGGCAGTTACTCTTTAACTAGATGTGATTTGTTCGTGTGTGTCTGTGTATATAGGCGCATATGTATGTATATATTTGCAGCAACAACAATAACAGCAACGCACACATCAGTTCAGTTAATAGGGACTGTTTTCCTGGCGTGGCGTTTCTATCTGCACTGGGAAGGAAATGACCGCTTATACACACTGATAGGAATGTTCTTTCAGTTTCTTTTCCCTGAGCATAGATGCCAAGTTTGGCATCAACGGAGTAGAGCAATGTCCTGGGACTATAAATGTTCATTTTGAGGAAAAAAGAAGGCAGGCTCTGTGGAGAGAGGTGACTTGCGGGGTGGGGTGGGGGATCGGAGACACAGGCAGGCCCGGGGCCCAGGTGAACTTCGGGGCGTGGCCCAGCGCTGAGGGTTGGGTGGGCATCACATCAGCCCAGGCCCAGTCTTGAAGGGAGTACAGAGGGGCCACGGGTGATCACCTAATCCGTGGGTCTCCACTAGACTATGTCCATTTGTAGGTTTTATTTTTAAATTCTTGTCCCCTTCTCTATGAGATCTAGCTTTGAATTTCTTGTCCTAGCTCAAAGTCTGAGGTCTGGAGAGGTCAACACACAGAGCTGTTAAGAAAAAAAAAAAAAGAAAGAAAAAGAAAAGGCAGCCGTGGAGGGAAAATGTTTCCCTGTGTCTTAATAGGACTTTGGGGGTAGGAGGGCAAAGCCAAAATTGGGTAAAAATGCAAAACAAAATTTCCTTTGTAAGGGAGCAGGGCAGTGGGTGACCACATTTAGGCTTTTTTTTTTTTTTAATGTTCCCTTTTCATGCTAAATTTTAGCTACCAGTTGACTTGAAAAAGCCAAAGCCTTTCTCTCGAAGTGCTGGTGTAACCATGCACGACTTCCTCCCAGAGGGTCACCAGCCCAGCCTCAGCCAGGGAAGGAGCCTGGCAAGGCCCGGCCAAGGGCCTGCACGGGGGGAACCTTGTGCTTGGGTTCAGATTCCCGCTCAATGGGGTGGCCTTGGGGACCCCTGGCCCTGCCGGCCGGCTGGCCGGGGTCCTGTTCACATCTGGCAGAGAAAGTGAGGTCCCCTGAGTCACGGCTTTGAGCGAGAGCTGGCGGTCTGTGTGGCTCAGAGGAGGGGACAGCCTGCTGCCCCCTGGTCCTGGGGTGTGTGGGCAAGGTGGTTATGTGCGCTGATGCGCATCTTTCTTCCAGGCCTGGGCGGTGTTTAAAGGGAAATTTAAAGAAGGTGACAAAGCCGAACCAGCCACTTGGAAGACCAGGCTGCGCTGTGCTTTGAACAAGAGCCCAGATTTTGAGGAAGTGACGGACCGGTCTCAGCTGGACATTTCCGAGCCCTACAAAGTGTATCGAATCGTCCCTGAGGAGGAGCAGAAATGTAACTACCTTCCCGAGCCTGCCCCTGTCTGCCATACTTGTGGGAGCTTAGCCTGGGAGGGGAGTGTGTGCCCCCCCTGGGGCCTGGGGCCTGGGGCCACCACTCCCGGGGTTGGGGTGCACCGTTTTAGTTACACCGAGTTGTTCTCTCTGTTGTATGGGCAGAGACGGAGGCCTTTTGCTGCTGATCTCGCCCACCACCTGCTGTGGGCCGCCTGGGGCAGGGCAGGCCCAGGGGCTGGGTGGAGGGCTGGCTGGGGCACAAGAGGCAGGTCTTCTGCTACCTCCACTTGCAGAGCAGGCTGGGGGAAATCTGGCGGGTGAGGAAGGGACGGAGCCTAAGGTGGAAGGAAGAGCTCGCAGGGTTACAGCAGAGGGGGCACGTCTGGCCGCACCGCTGGGGTGGGCATGCGTCTCCGCGTGTTGCTCGGCCTCTGCTGGATTGGGAACTCCGGGATGAGGTCTTTTCCAGCTCTGAAAAACCCCAAAAGCATTTGAGAGGGGATTAAAGCAGAGATAACAAAGAGCTGCCACAGCCCCCCCCGCCCCCACTCCCTGCACCCCGGCCAGACAGCAGGAAGCTATCAGCTTGTATCAAGCTCAGTTCTGGCCTCAGAATCCTTCACAAGGGAGAATCCAAGCTGTTGAGCGGAGCTGGCTCACGAAAGACGGTGGGATCTGCCACCACGGGGGTAGAGTATTCTTTTGAAAGAAAAACATCTCTGTTTTGTGGAGACAGGGTGTCACTGTGCGGTCCAGGCTGCTCTTGAGCTCACGATCTTCCCTCAGAGGCTGAGGTGGGAGGACCGAGGCTGAGCCTGGCTTGGGCTACACGTAAAGAGACCTTGACTTAAAAACCAGACATCCCCCCACAAAGGCAGGAAGCTGAGCCAGCGGATGGGTGTCTGGTCCCAGCAGCACGGTGCGGCTTGGCGTTCTCTTTCCTCCTGGTCAGCCACCGCAGATGACCCTTAACCTGACCGACTCAGCCCGTGAGCTAGTGCATCAGCACCGCGGCCTTCCCCAGGAATCAGGCGGCCCTCGGGGTGCAGTTGGCACTCCAGGTGGCTCTGAAGGGCCACGCGTCATCACTCTGCCTCATTCCCCAGCTTCGGACAGTGTTCTTCACGTGAAGTGAAGTGGGCAGGAAGTGGCTCCTGCCGCTTCCTGATTCCCACAGGCTCAGCCAGGTGTGGCCCGGCAGGTGACCCTAAGTTGTTTCTCGCCTGGGCTGGGGCTGGCGTGGCCTGTGGAGTGGAGGATAAGAAAGGGGAGAGCTGCAGCTGCTCAGGGGCAGAGATGCTTCATTTGCATCATGTCAGAGGGGCCCCTTGCTCTGTAGTTGAGCGGTGTGCAAGTGGTTCTGGGGCTGCCCACCTGTCCCCTGGCCCCTCAGCAGCTTCAGGGTGAAGCCCCGGGTCAGTCAAGGTGGTGTGTGTGTGTGTGTGTGTGTGTGTTGAGGAGTGGTCTATAGTCCCTGGGATGATGCTGTAACACTCCTGTAACCCAGGGAGGTTTCTCAGATATCTGGCTGAGGTTGGGAAGACTGAGACCAGTCCCCAGTGTTGGCTGTGTGAACCTGGGGCTCCATTTAGGCAGTTGCTAATTGAGGCTGGTTAATGGGGCGTCAGTGGGTCTTTATGGTGTGTGTGTATGGCGGGGAGAGGGAGGTGCACAGATACACATGTATATTTGGAAAGGCCAAAAACAGATTTCCTGCTAACTGGTTTTCAAAAAAAATACAAAAACCCAACATGCCAACGCGTTTTGCCAGGAACTCTGGGTATTTGCAGAGGCCCCGGCTTGTAAATTTAGTGTCTGGATGGTAAACTGTAAACCCCTGGTGTAAAATGTGTCTGATCTTTGCATGGGAGGAAGAGACTCCGGGCTGTCTTATTCTCCTTTAAGAGTACTATGCTTACCCTGCCTCCAGCAACTTCTCCCTTTGAGCTTTGCTGACTAAATGACTGAGGCATGGGAAAACAAGTCTGTGTCTTTCCCAAGTGTTCAGGCAGCTGCTGGCCCAAACCAGCGTGGACATTCACCAACACTTACTGTCTTAACTCAGCACTTCGCAGAATCTGCCTGGGAGTGAGGCCTTGTGGGTCACGTGGCCGTGTCCGTCTGGTTTTCCCTAGGCAAGCTGGGCTTGGTGCCTCCGAGCTGTGTGAGTGAAGTTCCGGAGATGGAGTGTGGTCGCTCCGACATGGAGGAGCTCATCAAGGAGGTGCGTGGAGGGGGTTCCCGGTCTGCCAGGCCTGTGGCAGCCTGTGAGACCCCCTCCCACAGAGGGGGCCCCTGCAGGTCACACCCCTTCTCTGTCCCGAGGGCAGCATCTGGGCTGCCTCTACCTCTGTTTCCTCAAGCTCCAAACATTCCCTGATAGTTGAGCCTTTGAGTGGTGATCCTGTGGTCTTTAAAAACCCACCCCTGCCTTCCTAAGCGGGCAGTGCCCCACACGAACTGCTGGATGGTGGGTTTGTAATCAGTGTCTTTCAGAGTGCAAAGCCAAGTTTAACTTGTGCACATGTGTGTTTGCGTGAGAGTGTGGGCATGGGTGTGCTGCATGTGAATGTGCACGTGTGTACCTGTGTGTGTGTGTGTGTGTGTGTGTGTAAGGAATTGAACTGCTTGTAAGGCAGGCATGTACTTTCTACCCTAGCTTATTTTCAGGGTAGCGTCTCACTCTATGTCCAAGCCAGCCTGGACTGAGGTCTTCTATTTGTTTGTCACACACCACTGGTTGAGATAGAGTCTCTCAAGCTTTCATGCTGGGGCTGGCCTTGAACCACTGCCCCAATCTCAACTTCCCAAGTGGCTCAGACAGTGAGCTTCAGCTACAGTTCACAGCTCAGCCGTCACTTTTGTGTCACAAGACAGAGGTGGCCGTGTGGCTTTCATTGTCCGCTGACTGTCCAGCTTTATAAACGCCAGGTCCCCGAGCTGCAGGCTCAGTGGCTGAGGGACCCTCCTCTCCCGCAGCCCCCCGTGGACGAGTACATGGGGGTGATCAAGAGGAGCCCCTCCCCTCTGGAGGCCTGCAGGAGCCAGCTCCTTCCAGACTGGTGGGCGCAGCAGGCTGGCGCAGGTGAGGAGGCGGAACCCCGTGGGGCATCGCGGGGCCTCATAGCCGCTGGGGACGGGGTCGGGGCACTGGGACCTTCGCGGCCCAGGTCCTGGGGAAGGTAGCTGAGCCTCGAGCGGTGACAACACCCAGCCGTGCCTTCCCCCCACAGAGCAGCCCGGCAGAGCCTTGCTTGCAGGGGAGGGACAGCCTGCGGCTCTCCCGGAACCCCGGGGCGCCCAGGGGAGGGGTCAGGTGATACCCCCGTGACCAGAGGGAGCTGGCGGCTCTCAGCCTCTCCGGGCTGCCCTGGGCTCCCTGGAAGGTTGGCTAGTTTGTCCTCTGAACCCCAAGGCTTCTGTAGTGGAGGGGAATGCTCAGGGCCTCAGTATCCTCAAAAGGCAGAGACATGAGGACCTGCCACAGGGGCACCCGTCTGCTCGCGGAGGATGCCACCCAAGGAGCCTGGGCTTGCGGCCGTGCGGTGTGAGCACCTGTGTCTCCTTCCTCTGCCTCTTCCCCATTGTGCCGGGGCAGCCTGGGGCGGTGGCTGCCCCGCGGGGCCTCGGAGGTTTCCAGGCTGTGGGTGGGTTGCAGTGTGGTGTGTGGCGCCTACGCAGGCCAGAGGGACGGCTCGGGGAGACTGGAGGCAGGCACTTGGGGCCGGGCCCTGGGGACGGAAGGACACGCGGCCTTGAGGGGTCTGGTGCACAGACAGAACCCCACAGCATAGAGGAAGTCCCCTGCACTCTGGCTTGGCCAGGGCCTGGGTTTCTGCATTTATGCAACAACGGGTCACCAGGCTGGAGGGAAAACGCTGAATTCAGCAGAAGCCAGGGCGGCCCGCCCCGGGGGGCGCTGGTTCCGGGTCTCCAGAGGAGGGGTCTGGCCCGCTCCCTGGGGGCACCGGCACACATGTGGTCTCGTGGGAGGCCGGGCCTCTCCCTTGGCTTCAGTTGGCTTTGGTGTCCCCACAGGCCTGCCGCTGCTCACCGGGTACGCCGCCTTTGACACACACCATCCAGGTACGGGCGCCAGGGGCACAGCTCCGCTGCAAACAGTCTGACTGTCCGGCAGGGGTGGGGGCCCGGGGGCAGGGCTTCGAGGACAGGTTTCCCGCTTGCTGTGTGGGTTGAGACCAGCCGGTGGCCCGGCCTTCCCATATGGCACTGTAGACTGCCCCCCGCTGGTGTGGTGTGGGGCCTGCGCGAGGCGTGGGCCGGGGCTCCCCACAGCTCTGTCCTAGCCGCATTCTGCCTGGAAGATGGTTGTAGCCATTCGTAAACTACAGCACAGGTCCCGACAGGTGCCAGGCAGCTGGCGGAGCTCTTGACGTGGGCTCTGCAGACCAGGGGCCGCGGTTGGTATCTGGGGGTCTCCCTCACATGGCCCACGCTTTGTCCTGCTCCTGCCTTCTGATCACCACTCACGCACTGCTTGTGTGCACCAGGCACAAAGCAGGCTCAGGCGTCCGGCAGCTCCTCTGGGCGGGTTCCTCCGCCACCTCTGCCCTGCTGGTGAGAAGCAGATGCAGACCCGTCTCACCACTGGGAGGCGGCAGAGCTGGGACTCTACCTCAGGGCCTGGCCCTGAAGTCTGTGCCTGGGCGGGTGGGCTCCTGGGCGGGCAGCTTTGCCCGACTGTCACCTGGGAAGCGTGGCCGGTGTCCCCAGCCCCTCCTGCTGGCACCTCCTGGAGCCTGAGGTGTCCACAGGGCACTGAGATGGTCCTGCCCGAGTGTCACGTTGCCACCCCGGGATGCTGCGTGGTCACCGGGCTGACCAGTGTGGGTGCCAGGGTGAAGCCCCCAGAAATGGGGCAAAGGGCACGGCGGTGCGACTCGCCCAGGCTACTCACGTGTTGGGAACAAAGTCTGGAAATGGTTCTGGGTGCAGGGAGGGAGTGTGCAGGGCGGCTGGGTGTGGCAGGTGATGCACACTTGGTGTGGTGGGGACGCAGCTCACAGCCTGGTCCGGAAGGGACCCTGGACTGGTCTGCGGTGTCCGGTGCCGTGCAGGAGCCCCAGGCGCTCCAGGCCCAGGTCAGTGGGGTTCTTTAAAGACCACATGATGCCCCCAGCATTCCCCACCTGGATGCCTCCTAAGGAATCCAGTCTTGTGCACCCCGCCGCCAGCACGCTGTCAGCCAGAGGGCATCTGGATTCCCTAGCCCTGCCCCATCCTAACAGAAGCCCGCAGGGTGCCCCAGGAGAGGCGGTACGCCCAGGGGTGCTCGAGGAAAGGCCAGAGCTCTAGCCAGACGGCCAGGGCGGCGCCTCTTCCCTGGTGGGCCCCCTCTTGCCCTTCCCTCCACTCCGTCCCTGCTCCTCTCCTCTCACCTCTCCTCCCCGCTCCCCTCTCCCCTCGCCCCTGCAGCCTTCTCGCAGATGGTGATCAGCTTCTACTACGGAGGCAAGCTGGTGGGCCAGACCACCACCACCTGCCCCGAGGGCTGCCGCCTGTCCCTGCCCCAGCCGGGGCCAGCCCGGCAGTGCGGGCCCGAGGGCCTGGAGCTGGTGCGCTTCCCGCCGGCCGACGCCGTCCCCAGTGAGCGGCAGCGGCAGGTGACAAGGAAGCTGTTCGGGCACCTGGAGCGGGGCGTGCTGCTGCACAGCGGCCGGCGGGGCGTGTTCGTCAAGCGGCTGTGCCAGGGCCGCGTGTTCTACAGCGGCAACGCCGTGGTGTGCCCGGGCCGGCCCAACAAGCTGGAGCGCGACGAGGTCGTGCAGGTCTTCGACACCAGCCAGTTCTTCCGAGGTCCGTGATGCGCCACCCTCCCACCCACCCCAGAGACCGTGCCCCCCACCCTGCTGCCGAGCCGGGGAGGGGGGGCTGCGCCTTCGCTTCCCGCGTGTAGACAGGAAAACAGAATGAGCACCTTCTCCCTGGGCTGGGAACTGCAGCACCGCCAGGCTCTGCACACAGCCCCTGGCCCCGGCCTGGGCCTCAAGTCCAGCCCCATAGGGCGCCCCCGGCAGCTCCAGCAGATGCGCCCATGCCACCCATGGTGCCCTGCTGTGCTGCCGCAGCCGCAGCTGACTCCCCGCCCGCCCTCTCCCTGCAGCCCAGAGGCGTGTTGGGTCTCTGCTGCCACCTGGCTGGCAAAGAACTGCAGGGAGGAGAGAAGGGGTTGGGAGGGCGGCTGGTGGGGGAGGGGGCGCCTTCAGGGCGGCAGATGACATAAATCCCCTGTCTGAGGGAGACGCAGGGAGTGGGAATGCAGGAGCTGTGTCCTCAGAGAGGTGTTCACACCCAGGCACCGGAGAAACTGACTGCAGTGCAGACGGCATGGTGCACTCCGTCTCCCAGCGTTCGGGAGGCTGGGGCAGGAGGAGCAAGCCGTGTCCAGCCCTGCCTGGCCTGGGCCTCCCCGCCCTCCCCCCCAGGCCCAGCATCCTGTGGCCTCATCAACCCCCCCCCCCCTGCAGAGCTGCAGCAGTTCTATGCCAGCCAGAGCCGCCTGCCCGACAGCAGAGTGGTGCTGTGCTTCGGGGAAGAGTTTCCAGACATGGCCCCCGTGCGCTCCAAGCTCATCCTGGTGCAGGTGAGGCCCGTGCAGGGGCAGCTCCCGCTCTCACCCAGGCCTCCCGGGCTCATGTCAGGTCCTGAGAAGAGGCTACAGGGCGGGCGATCCCACGGGTGCGCAGGTGTCCTGGGAGGAGAGCCGGGTCCTGCCACCTCTGAATGTCTTCTCGTGCTCCGGCTCTTGTGATCATGTGTGCATGTGCAAGCATGCACCTGCGTTTCCCCCCTCCCCCCTCCCTTGCTTCCTCGCTCCTTTCCATCTCTTCTCCCATCCCATTCCCCCTTCCTTTCCCCACCCTTCCTTTCTTCTTTGCAGTCCAAGCATTTTCTCCAGAAAGATTCCATCTGTTCCGGTGCTTTAAGGGCCGAGAGACAGACGAGGCCATTTCGAGCCCTTGTGTAGCAGGGAAAGGGGTTCCCGGAAGGCGGAGTGGGCCCGGGGAGGACATGGCTGGCAGCACGGGCAGCCTGGCTCTTCACGTGACTCAAGGCTGCTAGGCAGCCTTGGGCTGGGGGATGGGAGTCCAGTGGGGGGCAGAGAGGGTCTCCCCACTCCCTGACCTCCGCCCCCGACCTGTGCATGCCACGTAGGTGGAGCAGCTCTACGTCCGGCAGCTGGTGGAGGAAGCGGGGAAGAGCTGCGTTGCGGGCCCCACCATGCAGGTCCTCGAGGAGCCCCAGCCTGACCAAACCTTCCGGATGTTCCCGGATATCTGCGCCTCACACCAGAGACCTTTTTTCAGAGAGAACCAGCAGATCACTGTGTAGGAGCCTCTCCTGGGAGCCCCGCCGTGTCTGCGGCTCGCAGTGGAGGATGCCGGTGGTCGTGGACATCAGCCCTCGACCTGAGGGCACTTCTCCGCTCTTAATTTAGTGAGGGCACCTGCTGATCCATCCGTGGCCAGCACAGGGGCCACACGAAGTTCTGCTGTTGAGACGGGAATGCTGGGAGCCTGTGCCGGACGGTGTGGAGACCGTGACCGTAACCACCAGTGACCAGAATGTTTATTTTCTGCATTTTTAAAAAATCACTAGCTGATACGATCTCCTTTGCATCTTGTGCCTATCGAACACCTGGTCTGTCATTCTCACTGGCCAGAGGACAGCTGCTTTTCGGTAAAGGAATGTGGAGTTGAAATTGATTTGAGAGCCGCTGCTTTTGTGTTTATCTCTGGTTAGAGGTAGAGACGGATGATTCATTCGGGGCATCATTCTCCCTTTAGGCGTTTGAGTAAGGTCTCAGAGCATCTAGAGCGTGGGGGGCCGCGCCGGTGGCTTGTGAGGCGGTATCTGCTCCCCCCAGACTCAGTGCAGGGCAGCGTGATCCTGGCGGCGCCAGTGCGTTCACGCTGCCACGGGACCAGACTTTTCCTTTGGGGCTTTCTTTCAGGAAATAGAAAAATGTTTATTTTTAAATTTCTGTCACAAAATGGCTCCAGAGCTCTCTTTTTTCTTTATGATAAATGATTTTGGTCTATTTTTAAAAATATTTGTATTTTTGTCTTATTTTGTAGGATCTACTGTAAATTGCTTTGTTTTTTTGTCTTGTTTTGATTTTGTAAAGCCAGAGGTGTCAGCCTCAAGTGTAGAGAGCAGTGTAAGGGCTGTGGGCCTGGCTCAGTGACAGAGCACCTGCCTAGCCATCCAGGGCTCTGAGTTTAAACCCCAATACCAACGGGACAAACCAAACCCAAAGCAAATGTGATTGTCCAGGCATCTTGATTGGGCTGCCTGTCCTCAGCTGGTCTTGTTGTGTTGGGGTGTGGTCACATGGGGGGGTATCTCATCTGGATCTCATCTGTGCCTTGTTCCTGGAAGTCGAGGTTCACACCCAGTTCTGTGTTCCAAAGCAGCACACAACCCCAACAGCAGTCCTTGCTCTGGCCCCAGAGGACCCTTGCTGACAGGCCTTCCTGTTCACGGGGATTGGGGATGGAGATGCGCAGTGGAAGCCGGGGCAGAGCGGGCAGCTCACCTCCCCTCAACACCTCCGTCTGCCCTCAAAGCACTCTCCAACTTGAAAATCACGTTCAGCCGACACTTGAACATAGTTTCTAAGAATGGTTAGCTCAAGGGCCTCTTAGACTTGCGTGTCCTGTGTGTTCCTTCTCGGGGGAGCAGCCTGTCCCTGTTATGGTGGAGCTGGCATGGCCAAGGGCCTGGGGGTGGGGAGACAGACAGATGCCCCAGTGAGTCCTCCACGGTGGAGGCTCCGGGCAGATGGAGGCTGTAGGGAGGGTGCTCTTCAGTCCCAGTTGGCAGCGAGAAGAACCCGATCTCTCATCTCTGCCCTTTATAACCCAGCTGGAACCCCACCAAACCTCTGCAGAGTCTCATAGAGGAAGGCAGGGAGGCCTTACCTACTGGGCACCATGCTGAGCTGTGAGGGGAGGCCTGGGGCGGGGAGACAGACCAGCGGTCCAGCGACCTTGGTGGGCTGTGACAAGGGTCAGTCTGGACAGCCAGAGAGTGCCTGCCTGGCCAGCACCTGTAGTTGCTGCTTTTGTGAGGGGATGTGGAGGGCATGGACTGGGTCCCCAGGCCCCGGGTATCCCAGCCGATGATGGCTTCTTGTCAGCCAGCAAGGGGGGCGTGACAGCGCTCAGGGTGACTGACAGATCTGTTTGCCGAGGTGTCCTTAAGGTGTGAGGTGCCCACCTCCAGCCTTTCCTATGTCAAATAGATATTTATTTTTGTATCTGCTTAAAAAGTATTGATCTTTCTTATTCTCTGTGGCAATAAAGTGTTCTTTTATAAAGCTGGTATGATCCCTTTCCTTTTGTTGTTGTTGTTTAGTTGTGGTCAAATATTTTAGAATCTCCGCCACTTTCTATGACCTGCAAGGGGGATTGTAGACACCAGTAGTCTGTGATCTTAGGGGTTTGTTATTCACAAAACAGTAGCAGAACTTCGGGATGGCGGAACTCCCTGGAGCCCGTGGCGGGGGGGACCCAGCTTTCTGAAGCCAGAGGCCTGCTGGATTCTGACGTGCTGACAGGCACAGGGGGGCTGTGGCAAGAAGAGGGCAGAGGCTGCCCAGGAGCATCCTCCCAGAAGCTGCTGGAAGCTTTGTCGGCAGGCTGCATTCCATGCACATGCTGGGACGCGGCAGCCAGGGTGGCTGCCACAGAGCTGGCTGTCCGTCTAACGGGTCATTCCCACTGAACAACTGGTGTGAACTCACCCTGTGGGTGGACACAGTGCCGAGTGGCCCAGCTGGAGGGACGTGACCTCCAGTTCACCTGCGGGGGGGTGTCCCTTGTCTGTCCTCCTAACAGCCCTGGGAGACCAGGTTTGTTAGTATCAGCTTATGGAAGAGGAAACTGAGGCACAAATCCGTGCCTGGCTAGATGGGCACAGGTTGGTGGGAGAGGCTGGGTGGCAGGATCTTAAGGTAGCACTTGGACCAGAGTGCTTACTGATGCCTTGAGACAGGACAGCGCAGGCTTCTTAGGTCCTGTGTGCTGCTCCCAGGAGCTTCGTTGCTGTGGGCTCAGGGTGGAAGGTAGAAGCTGCCATGAATCCTTCTTTGAGATCAGAGAGGATGCAGGTGCTGTGCAGACAGTGGGTGCAGACTCCCCTCTACCTGCCACTGTGGGGAGTGGGTGCGCACACTTTCTCCCTCAGTGGAGGCAATGCAGGGACCTCACTGAGGCTCAGGGTGCCGGGGTAGCAGCAGGGCCCTGGGACGCTGAGCCTTCTGGTTGATGAGCTTCTGTCTTGCAGGGATGCATGGGGGAGGGAGGAAAGGGGGGAAAAGTCAAGCTGCCCACAGTGTGGATTATAAAAACACCTGGGAAACTGCGTTTCTTTGATCTGTCTCTGAGTCCCTTAACATCCAGTTGGCTAAAGGCAAGGATCACTGGGATGGGATGGGCCTTGGGAATTCTGGGAAAATCCCCAGCTAGGGGTGGACCTGGAGGCTGCCTGTTTGTGTTGTGTGGGCTCTCTGCCTCTGGAGGAGAAGCAGCCCTGAGGAGGGGAGAGGATGGCCCAGACTGGAACAGAACGGGAGGGGGGGCGAGGATGGCCCAGAGTGGAACAGAACGGGGGGGGAGGGGAGCGAGGATGGCCCAGAGTGGAACAGAACGGGGGGGGCGAGGATGGCCCAGAGTGGAACAGAACGGGGGGGGCGAGGATGGCCCAGAGTGGAACAGAACGGGGGGGGGCGAGGATGGCCCAGAGTGGAACAGAACGGGGGGGGGGGCGAGGATGGCCCAGAGTGGAACAGAACGGGGGGGGGCGAGGATGGTCCAGAGTGGAACAGAACGGGGGGGGGGGAGAGCGAGGATGGCCCAGAGTGGAACGGAACGGGGGGGGGGAGCGAGGATGGCCCAGAGTGGAACAGAATGGGGGGGGGGCGAGGATGACCCAGAGTGGAACAGAACGGGGGGGGAGCGAGGATGACCCAGAGTGGAACAGAACGGGGGGGGGGGGCGAGGATGACCCAGAGTGGAACAGAATGGGGGGGAGCGAGGATGGCCCAGAGTGGAACAGAACGGGGGGGGAGCGAGGATGACCCAGAGTGGAACAGAACGGGGGGGGGGGCGAGGATGACCCAGAGTGGAACAGAATGGGGGGGGTGAGGATGGCCCAGAGTGGAACAGAACGGGGGGGGGGCGAGGATGGCCCAGAGTGGAACAGAACGGGGGGGGGGCGAGGATGGCCCAGAGTGGAACAGAACGGGGGGGGGAGAGCGAGGATGGCCCAGAGTGGAACAGAACGGGGGGGGAGCGAGGATGACCCAGAGTGGAACAGAACGGGGGGGGGCGAGGATGGCCCAGAGTGGAACAGAACGGGGGGGGGAGGGGAGCAAGGATGGCCCAGAGTGGAACAGAACGGGGGGGGGGGAGAGCGAGGATGGCCCAGAGTGGAACAGAACGGGGGGGGGAGGGGAGCGAGGATGGCCCAGAGTGGAACAGAACGGGGGGGGGAGGGGAGCGAGGATGGCCCAGAGTGGAACAGAATGGGGGGGGGCGAGGATGGCCCAGAGTGGAACAGGACGGGGGGGGGGAGGATGGCCCAGAGTGGAACAGAACGGGGGGGGGGGAGGATGGCCCAGAGTGGAACAGGACGGGGGGGGAAGGGAGCGAGGATGGCCCAGAGTGGAACAGAACGGGGGGGGGAGCGAGGATTGCCCAGAGTGGAACAGAACCGGGGGGGGGGCGAGGATGGCCCAGAGTGGAACGGAACGGGGGGGGGGGCGAGGATGGCCCAGAGTGGAACAGAACGGGGGGGGGAGGGGAGCGAGGATGGCCCAGAGTGGAACAGAACGGGGGGGGGAGGGGGGCGAGGATGGCCCAGAGTGGAACAGAACGGGGGGGGGCGAGGATGGCCCAGAGTGGAACAGAACGGGGGGGGGCGAGGATGGCCCAGAGTGGAACAGAACGGGGGGGGGGCGAGGATGGCCCAGAGTGGAACAGGACGGGGGGGGCATCTTAGCACGTTCTTTGTAAAGAAGGATCTGCGAGGGGTGTCTCATGGGAGCCCGGCTGCCTTTTTGTACTCACCCTGGGAGGAGAATGCCAACGCCCTGACCCACGGGGCGTGCTCACTGCTTACTACTCTGACACCAGGAGGTCGCTGGCGTGAGAAGTGTGTCTTGTGCAGGAGTTTCCAAAGGATCTGGTCTGTTGTTGGGGGACAGCCATGCCCACCAGCGGGCATCCTCAGAGCCACCTTCACCAGGCTAGACCAAAGCCTGCGCCCTGTTTTTTCTTAGTCCTCACTACCAGGCTGCCATGCAGCCTGGGTGGAGCGAGCTTCCATCACATCTATGTAACAAATTGCCCCTAAACCGTGTGCCACTCTTGGCCTTATCTGTACTTATTTTTACTTAAATCTCCTTCCCGGCACTGGCTCCTTCCTACCCCCGTCTCTTCAATCCTAAGCAAGTGGGCCTTTTCTTCTCCATCTCTGGGTTATCAGAGTGGCTCTTCTGGTTTCTGAACCATAAAGGCCAGAAGGAGTTATCAAGGAAACAAGGAAAATTGAAAATAACCCCCCCCCCCCCATGCACAGAAGGGAGGGGCCCATGCTGTCTTCTTGAACAGATCTTGGGGAGAGAAATCACAGAGTTTGAGCAGCCCCAGATGGTCTCTGAACTCTCGGGGCTTCAGCCAAGGTCTGTCTGACCTCTGTA